AGGCCTCTCCGTCAGTCTGACGCACTTGCTCGGGAATACTCGCCGTGTCTGAGCGCCTGAGCTCCGCCGACGGTCTCCAGCTGCCGCTTTTACAGACACGCTTCGGGAAGCACAACTTTACCATGTTTTTGGTAATTACGCGCAAATACGCAGCAGATTATTTTCACTTCTTTCCCCCCTCACACACACTAGCCGTCTTTCTCTGCAGCCTTGTCTCCTTTCGTGCTCTTCCTGACTCTCTGCTTCTCTTGCAGTACGATGAGTTGGCTCATTACGGCGGCATGGACGCGGTCGGTATGTACGGGGATCCTCACGCGCCTCGGCCGCTGCCGCAGGTCCATCATCTGAACCACGGACCGCCGCTCCACGCCAGCCAGCACTACGGCACACATGCCCCCCATCCCAATGTCATGCCCACCGGCATGGGCTCAGCTGTCAACGACGTGTTAAAGAGGGATAAAGATCAGATTTACGGGTGAGTTTCATATTAATATCGGATGCGTGAACTCCTTTAGTCGGGCTTCTCTTTCCCCTAATAGTGTTTCTTCACCACAGCTTTCTGGAACTTGAAGTATTTAGTATTAGTATTTTTGTGCGGCGCTTTGAAAGCATTACTAAAGTAGACTTCTCATGATTTTTTTTAAAACGTGTTTTTACTGACTTGACTGAGAAGCTTGCAAACTTCAACCTTATGTTCAGGCTACCTAAAAATAATTTCATTAAGAGCGGCCGCGTGCTGCTTTCATTCCATTTCAGTTCAAAATCACCGCAGCTCGAGACAAAGCTACAAACCCCGATTCTGGTCGAGTGTAAAATGTTTTTGATTTATAAATCTTCTCCGAACTGTAGTGTCTGGATATTTGATATACTTTGTTTCGGGAGGGACTCTTGCTCGTGTGATTCTTCAGTTCTTCAGTCCCGAGCGCGGTTGTCTCTGCAGGCATCCTCTGTTTCCTCTGCTGGCTCTGGTCTTCGAGAAGTGTGAGCTTGTGAGCTGGACTCCCCGAGAGCCCGGGGTTGCTGGAGGAGACGTGTGCTCCTCAGACTCCTTCAACGAGGACATCGCTGTCTTCGCCAAACAGGTCCCTCACGAGCCGCGCATCTCACACCTCGAGCCTTTCATTCGTGTTTAAAGCATTAAAACAAACAAAGACAAAACATAATCGATTGCTTAAAAGCCTCCTTTACATTTAAGACCGCTAATTATATTTCTATAAATGCACTTGGATGTTGTAAGTAGCTACATTAAACGAATTTTTTTCTACTTTGACCAGATTAGTGATGATTGCAATTTTAATGCTTTTTTATTTTTATTTTGTTTATGTCATTAGCGACTGAATTGCTGCACATATTTTCTTCAAATGCTATTAACCCTCATTCTGCTGTGTTTTAGGTCCGCGCAGAAAAACCTTTATTTTCTTCGAATCCAGAACTGGATAATTTGGTAAGATCACGCTTCGGCACGGATCGTCTTCGGAATAACTGGAGTTCTCTGAAATGAGTGCGACTCATTTTTTCGAGACTTTTAGTTTAGTTTAGTGTTCTGCATGGATGTGGAGATAGTGAAGTGAACAGCAGGGGATGTGTGTGCAGTGTGAAATAAGTCTCATTATTTGCTGATATCACCAGCAACCCCTTTAACACTTCTCACAGGCCAATCAGTCCACATGCAATTTTTACATATCAAAAATAATAGCTTTTTATTTATCAAACACATTATTGAATTATTTCTTATTTTTTAATTACGTTTTTTTTTCAGTTGGAATAGGATGTTTTTTTCAATGCAACGAATATTAAAATTAAACAGCTAAATGAAGGCACACAGCTAACGACGTCCGTTTGTCTCTACAGATGATACAAGCCATACAAGTATTACGGTTTCATCTTTTGGAGTTAGAGAAGGTAATCTTTCTTTGATTTGTGTTGGTTTAATTTTAAATTAATTCGGATGGATTTACTTCTCTCATCGCCAATTTGTGAATGTTTTTTTTTTTTTTTTGGTTAATTTATTTTCTAAATTAATAATTCTGATTTTGTATGACTTATTCTTAAAAAAAGAAATATTATTTGACAAAATTACCCCTAACATAATTTGACATTAAAAACCATGTTATTTCCACGTTCCGTAAAGATAGTGGTTTAAACGGAATGTGACATAGAAATATTCTTATTTGTTACACATAAATAAATAATTTGACGGACAAGTTATAGTTTCTGCGAAACGATGATGTTCGTCTCTACATAGCGTTTATTTTTTGTCGATGAACTTGTTGCATGTGTCTGTAGAGAATAATAAGCATTGCTACAGTTTCTCTCTAACTGCGCTTCTCTCTGGAGCGGCTGCTGACAGAGCCTTTCTCTTCTCTGCTCGAAGGTGCACGAGCTCTGCGACAATTTCTGCCATCGGTACATCAGCTGCTTGAAGGGGAAAATGCCCATAGATTTAGTGATCGATGACCGGGATGGCAACTCAAAATCAGACCACGAGGACATCTCGGGATCTTCAACTAACTTAGCCGATCATGTAAGTAACCGGATGGTTTCATTGTTTCTGTCTGCGCTGGATATTAAATGCAGCATACCCTAAAATAGTAACGTGGACGATCCAAATAGCGGATAATATTTAAGATATGATGTTCTCAAATGGCTGAAAGTTTCAGGCGATTTTTTTCTGAACTTGTGCGCAAAAAACGGCGTGTTTATGGAAATATCTATTGTTTTGTTAATTTAGCGCTGGTAGATGTAGGTATTATTTTATGTTGCATATTTTAGTATGTCTTTATCTTGGGCTGTTGACAACAAATTAATATTTGAGACATGGATGTGCCTAAATGTGATGGCGTTAGAAGCTATTTTATATGCCTCAGTGTTATGTGAGCATGCACGCTATTTTTTTTTT